ATAAAGAAGATGAATTCCAGTAGGTACAAGACCACAAACAAAAAAAAAGTCCTGCAAGATGAAAAATATGGATGTAGAATACTTAAATCCGTAAAACAGAGCATCTAAAACTCAACAAGTGCATCTTAACCAAAAAGATAAAGGAAATAAAAAGAGGCTTCCGCCACTGGTCATACATGGAGGCATACAAAATCACAGCGAGTTTATAAAACTGCTGAATAACAATGTAAGTAGAAAATTCCATGTCAAATATCACAAAAACACAGTAGATGTGCAACTACAGGAAGCTCAAGACTATGAAAATTTAGACAAAAAGTGTGTTCCGCGGAGCACCCTCGAAATAACCATAGATTTAATTTTATAATCCATAGTTTGTAAGACGTTCCGGCGGGCCGTAGCGGCTAGCAATTTGCACAAAGGAAAGCCTTTGACAGCAGATGGCTAGCACGTTTCATGACACACAATTTCAAGGGCTGTTTTTGAGGAATCGTATTGTCTTTAACTTCTTTAGAATTTGTTTCTTAATCCGTCAGTCACGATCTCAACAGCCAATTGTCCGTGTCATAAAACGTGAATTTCCAGCGGGCCGTGCGCCGGGGTTCGACCGTATCCAGCTCGGGTCACCGCTGACCCCGTCGCAGGTACCAGGCCCAACGGAAATTCCGCGACGTTGCCAAATTTCATACTTCACTTTCACATACCACCCCCTATTCTCCACGAAAGGCGCCAAGGTCGTACGGAACAGGGTGGTGGTAGTCTTCACACGATTTCATTGGTTTCTGTCAATCACCAATCAAAAAATAGACACTTCCTAGAGCTTCCTGGCTGTCTCGGAAGTCTCTAGGAGTAATGTCTTAGATCAGTCTACTAGCAATCATCACACAGTAACCATCACAGATTCATCACTTAGAATACCAATAGTCAGTAGTCAATTTGTTAAATAGTGTTAGGGAAAAGTAATATATTGTTAAAGTTTAAAATAAACAGTTAGTTACATACATAATCATCCCTATTTTCTAAAAAATAATAGGGAGTCACAAGGCACGCGGCGCGAAATAATTTCGAAGTGGAGACTTACAATCTCTGCTAGACTTGTCGTCCTCACGCCAAGTCTCGACGCGTGTGCGTGGCAAAACATTGGTCCTTCGAGCCGGATGCAGTGATCGTGAATCCGAAGATATTAAATAAAACGCTAGTGACAGTGCTCGTTCGAATCTCGACACGTGACGGATCCAGAACCGAGAAAAGATCATGCTGACGCTCAAATACATCAGCCGCAACCATCCCAGTCGCAGCATCAGCCGCAGTATCAGCTGCAGCATCCGCCGCCGAGAGACGTCGAAGATAAGAAACGAGGGAATCACGGCATCATCACAACGCAAGGTAGACTCGTTTTGATTCGCCAATTTTCATATAATTAACCTCATATTCCTAACCACCATGGCAAACACCTCTGAACAATCCCAGCCTGCAACTCATAATCTCAATATCAGTACCCTGCGACGCAAACGGGGTAATATTATCGGACAAATTACATCGTTTACCAAATTCCTCGACACACAACGCGAACCCGGTCAACGCGACATACACCTGCTCCAAGCCCATCTCAATGGGTTGAACGAGGTTTGGAAACGATTCGATGAGACACAGTTTAATATAGAAGAACTCGACGAATCCGAGGAAGCGCGTCGATACACAATATCGAACGACTATTACGCCGTGGTTGCACTAGCAAACAAAATGATGTATGGCAACGATCCGACGATCCGCGGCACATCCGCATCACCCGCACTAACAGTATCGGCCCCAATGACGATAAGATTGCCAGAGATGCGTCTACCTACGTTCGACGGAACGATCGAGAAGTGGGCATCATTTCTCGACATATTTTCATCGATGATCGATCGAAACGATAACTTAACGCCGGTACAAAAATTGCAATATTTGCGATCAACATTAACGGATAAAGCGGCCGCGTGCATACAGTCGTTAAGTATCACCGACGCGAACTACACTGACGCCATCGAATTATTAAAAGAAAAATTCGATTGCACGCGGTGCATAATATTAGGACACTGCGACGCGCTACGAAACATACCAAAACTCTCCAAAGATTCGCCGGAAGCATTAGGAAACCTCGTAGATACCATACGCCAACATCTGCGCGCCTTGAAAAATTTAGGAGAATCCGTCTCCTCGTGGAACAGTATGTTAGTCTCCATCATCCTCTCCAAGGTGAGCTCTGACATCGCATGGCTTTGGGAGCTCACGTTAACAGACAGGAAAAGAATGCCTCTATACACTGACCTTCTCGAGTTCCTGGAAAAACGCGCAAACTGTGCTCCAGCATCGTCACCAGCACCCGCAAAACCATCAAGACCGGAGAGTCCGCGAATGAGACGGTCAAGGCCAATACGAGAACACGCCTTCTTAAGCTCGGATACACAACAATGTCCCATATGCCAGGGTGGACACGGAATTTGGGCCTGTGGTGAATTTCAAGCCAAATCCGCGAAAGAACCGCTGTTGAAAACGCGTCTCTCTGCGGTAATTGCCTGAAAGGGGAACACACACCAAAGTTCTGTTGGTCCGGATCGTGCCGTGTCTGCCATAAACGTCATCACACCCTATTGCATCATCCAGAACATCCGCAGTATAATACGAACCGACCAGCACCAGCACCAGCACCAGCATCATCATGGCAGAGCATGGAATCTGGCGTCTCCCAAGTACCAGTATCACCATGGCAGAACATGGAGACTGCAGCCTCTCAACCACGGACATCAAAATGACTAGAGCAAACCGAGACTTCAATAGGCACGAAACACCACAACATCTTTATCGTCGATTCGATTACAAACGATCTCCTCGTCACGGCAGAAATTAACATTTTAGACAAGGACCAAAACCCGATCCGCTGTCGCGCTTTAATCGACACGGGCGCAACTACAAATTTCATGACGGAGAATCTCACGAAACGACTCGGCGTTCCTCAAAAGAAATGTTTCGTCCCAATCGGTGCTCTCAACACTCTATCGACCGTGGCCAGACACGCCATCGACGCTACCATTGTATCTCGCATCAGCCATTACAAACGGACAATGACCTTCTTAACATTACCTAAAATAGCTTCGTTAATTCCAAGCCAACCGATCGATCGTTCCACATTTAAAATACCACGTAACATCAAACTAGCAGATCCGAATTTTTATCATCCAGCACCGATCGAGGCTCTTCTAGGTGTCGGAACCGCGCTGTCTTTATTATGCATTGGACAGATCAATATTTCTCCTCCGAATGGCCCCGACCTATACCTACAAAAAACAAGATTAGGATGGGTAATCGGGGGGAGCACACCAGCCACCAATCCAACAAGCAGCACGTCTTGCCACACGACCACCGCACTACAAACGGACATCGCCAAATTTTGGGAGATCGAGGAAGGACCACAGGTCCAGCGTCTTTCCAAATCTGAAGAGGCCTGTGAGACGCATTTCTGCAAAAACACGAAACGAGATGCAGAAGGACGATATGTCGTGGCACTGCCTTTCAACGGAAGGGAACAACAACTTGGAGAATCGAAGTCCAGAGCTACCAAAAGATTCCTCTCATTAAAACGGAAGCTTCAACAGGAACCAGAGACGAAACAACAGTATCACGAGGTGATGCAAGAATACATCGATCTCGGACACATGTCAAGGGTTGGAACCGATCAAACAACCAACGGATTTTATTTGCCACACCACGGAGTAAAAAAAAATCACGAGCCAAACGACAAAACTTCGAGTGGTATTCGATGGATCGGCAGAAACCACCACCGGCATCTCACTCAACGACGCACTTCACACAGGACCAAAAATACAAGATGATTTGCTATACATTCTTCTTCGATTTCGCATACATCAGTATGTCCTTACAGGAGATATCGAGAAGATGTATAGACAGATCATGGTATGCCCCGAAGACCGTAAGTACCAACGCGTCCTATGGCGTGATCCTAACGGAGAGATCGCCGCGTACCAACTCAACACCGTCACGTTTGGATTATCCGCCGCACCATTTCTCGCTATACGTTGCCTCAAGCAACTAGCCGAAGACGAGGGACACCGTTTTCCCCACGCCTCCACAATATTAAAAAGGGATTTTTACGTAGATGATGCTCTCACCGGAACCTCAACCATTGAAGAAGGGCTAGTCTTAAGTAAAAATCTCACCCGTCTATTAAAACTCGCAGATATGAAAATTCGTCAATGGGCGTCGAACGACAGACGATTACTCCAAGGACTATCAGAGGATCACATTAACAGCAAGCTCCATCTAGGCGAATCTTCTACCGTCAAAACACTTGGAATTTACTGGAATTCGTCCGACGACAGTATTGGTTACGCAGTATCAACCACCGCCGACACAACCCGTATAACGAAGCGATCCATCAGTTCAGAAATAGCAAAAATTTACGACCCATTAGGACTCCTTGGACCAGTCATCATCCTCGCAAAGCTGTTGCTTCAACGGATCTGGACCATGAAGATTGACTGGGACGAGTCTCTTCCCATACTGAGTGGACGAACTACTACACTCAACTGCCGCTCCTGAACAACGCCACATTCAAACGAATGGCCACCATTGAATCACCAACAATTATGGAATTACATGGATTCTGTGACGCCAGTGAGAAGGCATACGGAGCCTGCATTTATCTCCGGTCCACCGATACGCGTGGTAACATCCAGGTTGAACTTCTCCTGGTAAAATCCAAGGTAGCGCCCATAAAAACTCAAACGATTCCACGTCTCGAATTGTGCGGAGCACTGCTCCTCTCATCCCTAGCTACAACCGTTCAGAAGGCACTTCACGTAAAAATCAACCGCAGCATCTTCTGGACCGACTCCACGATAGTCCTCCATTGGATCAACACATCTCCACATTCGTTAAAAACCTTTGTCGCTAATAGAATCTCAGAAATCCAGACAAAAACCAACATTACAGATTGGCGTCATGTGAGGACCGAAGACAATCCAGCGGATCTGATCACACGAGGTCAGTCAGCGGTTGAATTTCTCCAACCATCTATCTGGCAGCAAGGACCAGATTGGCTTAAAGGAGAGGAACTTCACTGGCCTACGTGGGAGATAAAACAACCAACTACAGATCTGGAACAAAAGACTGTAGTGTGTTTAACAACTGCACCCATCGACACGAGCCTGTTGGAAAGATACTCGTCATGGGGAAGACTCCAAAGGATCGTCGCGCTCTGTTTGAGATGGAAACGCTGCAACACTCAAAAGGGAGCGCTTACAGCCACAGAACTTCGTCAAGCTCACAACGCAATCGTAAAATTAATTCAAGGCCTTCACTTTCCGGAAGAATTACGATGCCGCGCCAAGGAGAAGAACTGCTGCATAAGGGGGAAGCTACAGCGCTTAAATCCATTCGTGGACCAGGACGGAGTGCTGCGCGTCGGCGGACGCCTGAAACACTCGGCAATACCATTCTCGAAAAAACATCCAGTGATCCTGCCGAAATCATCCGTCACGAAGCTAATAATAGAGAACGAGCATCGAATCCACCTGCACGCCGGAGTTCAGGCCACATTGTACGCCGTGAGACAAAGATACTGGCCTATCGACGGCCGCAGTCAAGTTTGGAAGGCGGTCAAGGATTGCGTCCGGTGTTACCGAGCGCAGCCACCGCCGACCGACTACGTCATGGGCAACTTACCGGCAGCAAGGGTCACCGAATCACGCCCATTTACTCATACAGGGGTGGATTACTGCGGGCCATTCTTTGTAAAAGAAAAAAAACTCCGAAACCGAAGCAGAGTAAAGGTCTACACCGCGGTTTTTGTGTGCCTCGCGGTAAAGGCGGTCCACCTCGAAGTAGTGAGTGATCTCACAAGTGAAGGCTTCATCGCCGCACTCCGAAGATTCATCGCCCGTCGAGGATTCTGCATCAGTCTACACTCGGACAACGGAACGAACTTCGTCGGGGCGAACAACGAGCTACGTGAATTGCGCGACCTCCTGCGCTCTGATGACCACAACAACAGGGTACAAGCCTTTCTGTCTGATCGATTGATCGAATGGCATTTTATTCCACCGCAAGCTCCTCACTTTGGCGGTCTTTGGGAGGCCGCGGTAAAGTCGTTTAAATATCACCTCAAACGCGTCGCAGGTGCTGAGTTCTTCACCTTCGAGAGCTTTAATACCCTTATAATAGAAATTGAATCCATCCTGAATTCCCGACCTCTCACTCCTATTTCATCTGATCCTAATGACCTCCTCGTACTTACACCCGGACACTTCCTGATTGGCGATTCATTTACGAGTCTACGTGAGCGTGATTTCAGGGATGTTCCAGCAAACCGACTCTCCAGCTGGCAGCAAATCCAGAAGGTAAAACAACACTTCTGGGCCCGACGGCATCGGGAATACTTGAACGAGCTGGTCACCCGCAGCAAATGGTCCAGCGGCAGTCACACCATCACAGAGGGCACGATCGTCCTCCTGAGAGAAGACAACATACCCCCGATGCAGTGGGCTCTGGGAAGAGTCACCCAAGTACACCCAGGCTCCGACGGCATTGTTCGTACCGTCACGATTAAAACCGCTACGAACGTGTTGGTCCGGAGCGTGAAAAAACTCGCACCGCTGCCCATTGAAGCCAAAGAAGAAGACTCGGAGGAACCAGCTACCAAGGGAGAACACTCATCTCCCTAATCTAGTTACTAATAATTAATGTCCCTATACATTTACTATTAATTACTATCTTAGTTTAGATTTAAATTGTCATCTTAAATATTATATTTACATTCACTTGATCGTTGTACTCTCAACGGGGGGAGGATGTTCCGCGGAGCATCCTCGAAATAACCATAGATTTAATTTTATAATCCATAGTTTGTAAGACGTTCCGGCGGGCCGTGCGGCTAGCAATTTGCACAAAGGAAAGCCTTTGACAGCAGATGGCTAGCACCGTTTCATGACACACAATTTCAAGGGATGTTTTTGAGGAATCGTTTTGTCTTTTAACTTCTTTAGAATTTGTTTTCTTAATACGTCAGTCACGATCTCAACAGCCAATTGTCCGTGTCATAAAACGTGAATTTCCAGCGGGCCGTGCGCCGGGGTTCGACCGTATCCAGCTCGGGTCACCGCTGACCCCGTCGCAGGTACCAGGCCCAACGGAAATTCCGCGACGTTGCCAAATTTCAGACTTCACTTTCACTTTCACATACCACCCCCTATTCTTCACGAAAGGCGCCAAGGTCGTACGGAACAGGGTGGTGGTAGTCTTCACACGATTTCATTGGTTTCTGTCAATCACCAATCAAAAAATAGACACTTCCTAGAGCTTCCTGGCTGTCTCGGAAGTCTCTAGGAATAATGTCTTATATCAGTCTACCAGCAATCATCACACAGTAACCATCACAGTTTCATTACTTAGAATACCAATAGTCAGTAGTGTAGGGATGACCGAGCGTGAGTGCGTTGTTTGTATGAATGCGTTGTCTGTGTGAATGCGTGAGGGTCTATGACCGGAGCGGTAAGGACCGGCGTGCCAGGTCGAGTGTTTGGGATAGCGCGAAAGATATTGAACGAATGTTTAGTTTTAGTAATCAGGCGAGGAGTGCGTGAGTGCGTGTGTGTTTTCTTCTATCGAAAAGTGTGCATGTATGCAAGATGACATTAGAGTGAATGCGAGGGAGCGAAAGGCAGTATGAATCCAGCGATTGATTGAGCGACATTCTTAGCGTAGCACGTAGCGATATAAAGTATTAATAAATATAGTATAGAACAAAGTCCGTTCGAGTTTACTATCCCTCCTCACATAAATCCCCTACAATTGTGTATATAAAAATTTGGTAATAATTTTCATCAATCTAATTTCAATCATTCTAATACAAAGATTCTATGGAAATAAATCTTTTCTCTTTAACTGATACGACGTCGATAATTTATTGCTGCACCAGCGCTGTTTTCTAGTTGTATTTTTCCCATTGCTGCTCGACTTGGTTGAAATAGGAGAGGCTTACAAACTGATCAGGCCGTAGTGGAAAGAGAAGGAAATCAAATTTCACATATATACAAAAAAAGAGGATAAAAGGAGAGCCTACAATGTACTCATAGGCCTACACAACCAAACAGATATAGTAGATATAAAAAAGGATCTGGAACTACAAAGTATAGTGGCAATAAAAATAAATAAAATGAGGGGAACAACAAAACCAAAATACATGGTCACAGTATCACATGCAACAAATCTTAAGCAGCTGCAAAATAAAATAAAATACACTCCCGTCCATAAATGTCTGGACACTTGGCAATTCAGATAAAAGGCTTATAAATGATATAATAATACAATTACATATTTCTTAACAAAATTGGTGTTAATTGAAAGATCTGTTATCATAGAAAATCTGTAGTATATACTAAATAAAATTCTAGAGGTAAGAGTAAACCGAAAGAATGTAAGGAAAATAATGATCAGAAAAAGGAAACAAAAAAACGGCAATATATAGGAAAATATGAAGCAGAAGGTGGAAATAAGAAAGGAGGAAGCACAGAAAAGCCCGCCAAAGGTAAACTACTATTTTGGAACGTGGCAGGAATAGAAAGAAAAGATAGAGAATTTTGGAAATTTGTGGAGGGATTCGACTATGTAGGATTATTAGAGACTTGGGTGGATCAGAGAAAATGGGAGAGCTTAAGAAAAAGACTGCCAAAAGGATTTGTATGGAGCTGCCAAGCAGCAATAAGAGAGAAGAAGAAGGGAAGACCCCGAGGTGGAATAATAACTGGAGTAAAGGAAAGCTGGGAAATATTGGAAGGGTGCGAACAGGTGGAAGGCTTGGTGGGAAGAAAAATCAGAGTCAAGGAGGAAATATGGAACATATGGGCAGTGTACAGTAACAGAGAGATCGACAGAATAGCAAGAGAGATAGAGGAAAAACTAGAACACATAGGTGAAGAAGTAGCAATAATAGGGGGAGACTTTAATGCGAGGATAGGGGAAGAAGAAAGCTGGTACAGCAGAGGAGCAGAGGAAGAGCAGGAAAAACGAAAATCTAAAGATAAGGTAAAAAACGGGCAGGGGGAAAAATGATGAGAATGATAGAGGATAGGGGGTTACATATTCTGAATGGAAATAAAAGGGAAGACGAGGAGGGGGAGCTTACCTATGTAGACAAGAAAGGGGTATCGGTAATAGACTATGTATTGACCAATTCAAAAGGTTGGGATAGGACAGAAAAATTACAGATAGGTGATAGAATGGACTCTGATCATCTACCATTAACTGTAGGGGTAATGGCGGAGGGAGAGGAGGACTCAGAGGAAGGGCAACTGAAAACGGAGGTAATAAACTGGAATAAGAACGCGATAGAGAGATATAAAGAGAGGACAAGGGGAAGATTATACAAACAGGACGAAGAGGCGACAGAAGATTAGGAAAAGCTAAAAACAGAGATAAAAGAGATGATGGAATCAAGATCAATAAGTGTAAGGAGATGGAAGATAGAACACAAAAGATGATGGGACAGGGAATGCACTAGGGAAAAAAGGGCAGTGGACAGATACTATAAAAAGTGGAAAGTGGGAAAAATTGAGAAGGAAGTTCTTCTACAGAAAAAGGCGGATTTCAGGAAATTATGCGAGAGTAAGGAGAAAAGATGGAAACAAGAAGAGGAAGAGGAGATTAGAAAGGCAAAGGCAGAAAACAAATATGGTCCTATATTAATTAGGAAAGGAAAAGAGAGACAAGTGCCGTAAACAAGATTACAATTGAAACATGGAGAGATCACTTCAAGAAGCTACTGGGGGGGTCAGATGCTAAGTCAGTAGGGGCTAGGAGAGAACAGATCCCAGTAGAAGACGATGAAGAGGACCTGACAGAGGAGGAAATAGAAAAGCAATTGAGAGAACTAAAGAAAAAGAAGTCGCCAGGATGGGACAACATCCCAAATGAGGCATGGGTACACTGTGAAGGCAATACAAGGGACAAATTGAAGGAGGTAATCAGGAAGGTGTGGGCAGGAAAGGGCCTCCCGGAAGATTGGAAAAGCGCGGCGATAGCCACCATATTTAAAAAAGGGGACGAAAATGACACAGGAAATTATAGACGAATAAGCCTTCTATGTACAGCGTATAAAATATATGCGTGGCTACTGAACGAAAGGCTTAAGAAAGATGTAGAAAATAAAAGAATCCTGCCAGAGACGCAAGCAGGGTTCAGAAAACACAGAGAGGCAGTGGATACACATACATACTGCAAAACACGTTGTGGAGAGGGAGACTAGAAAGCAAAAAGGAAAGATATACGCAATGTTCGTCGACCTAAAAGCCGCGTTCGACACTGTGAAGAGAACCAAATTATGGGAATCCATGGAGAAGTGCGGAGTGAGAAAAGGGTTAACAGAAAGAGTAAAGGAGATATACGAGGAGACGAGAAATGTAGTCAGAACGAGAGAAGATGAGTCTGAGGAGTTCTGGACGGGGGAAAGACTGAGGCAAGGATGCCCGCTCAGCTCGACCCTGTTCACAATATTTATCGCAGACATGGAGGGCAAGCAGGAGGGATTAGAGTAGGAAGTGAGAAATTCTGGTCTCTAGCTTATGCAGATGACGTAGCGGTAGTAGCGACCAGAGAGGAAGAACTAAGGGAAATTATAAAAAGATTGGAAAAGTATTTAGATAAACAAGAACTGTTACTGAACGTGGGAAAGACGAAGGTAATGATTTTCAGGGGTGGGGGAGGGAGAGCGAAAGGAGTAGATTGGAGATGGAAAAGTAAAACGGTGGAAGAAGTCAAGGAATTTAATTACTTGGGAGTAAGATTTCAGAGGAACGGTAACATGGCTTGGGGGGAGGGAGAGCGAAAAGAGTAGATTGGGGATGGAAAAGCAAAACGGTGGAAGAAGTCAAGGAATTTAATTACTTGAGAATAAGATTTCAGAGGAACGGTAACATGGCTGGACACATAAAGGAAAGGATAAAGAAGGCAAACGTGACATTGAACCAGGTTAGGGACATGCTGGTACTTGGTGTACTGATGTATATGGTAGAACTGTGGGGTTTTAAGGAGAGAGCCGAAATAGAAAAGATACAAGTAAGATACATAAAATGGACGCTTGGCTTAGACATCCGCACACCCAGACTACTTGGTGCTGGAGGAATCAAAGAGAGAGAAATTAAGAGTAAAAGCAGGAATTAAAGTTTGGAAATTTGAGGAGGGAGTAAGGAAGGGCGTAGGAAGGAAAATAGTCAAGGAATGTCTGAAGGGAAAGGAAGCAAATAAAGAACAAACTAGAACCGGAAAAGAGAGAGAGGAGTACTTAAAAAGAAACGGATTAAGTCAAGCGGGGGTGGATGAGTTGAGAAGAGAAGGAAGAGAGGTAACGGAGAGGATAAGGAGAAGAGACAAAGAAGTGCAACAACAGAGGCAATACACAAAAATAGAACAATCCAAATACAACATTAGGTACAAATACATCAGAACTATAGGACTACCAGAATACTTGAGCAAAGAAGGAAGAGGCCAGAAGTTAATAGCCCAAGCGAGATGCGGGAATTTAGAAAACTGGAACAAGTACTGGGAAGAGGAGGAAGGAAGGAGAGATGCGATTTGTGTGATGATAGATTCGGAAATCTGGAACATTTAACAAGGGACTGCAAAGAAACCGACAGGGATATCAGGATGGAAGACGTAGCGAATGGGAGAC